CGCATTTATGAGAATTATGAATCCAAATGCTGGAGGTGTGGACAACTAGATGCAACTTTTTTTCATATGTGGTGGACTTGCAAGGTTATTAAAGCCTTTTGGATAAAATTGTGGTGGAACTTGCAACAAATATTTAAAAGAAGGATTACCTTTTTGCCTCACCTGTTTCTCCTAGGTATTACACAAAATTTGGATGTAAAAGAAACTAATTTGATGTTGCATTGTTTAACTGCTGCCCGTTTGTTGATAGCTCAAAACTGGAAGAGCAAAATTTTACCAACAATGGAAGATTGGAGATTGAAAGTTTCGCATCTTGCTGAAATGGCAAAGATTTCAGCATATCTGAAGAATTACTCAAATGAACAATTTTTATCTATATGGAGAAGATGGATTGTTTATATACAAAAGAAGCATAGAATAGTGGAATATAACTTAGGTTTTTAATTAACTGGTCTTTTTTCTTTTTTCTTTTATATATATATTTCACTTATCCATGTAAAATTTATACACCTTGTGGAGTTAGAGATATTATTAATTGTTTACTTATATTTGAATACTATCCTGGGATTAGGTTTGGGAAGTCTCGGGGGGTGGGGGGGTGGGGGATGTGGGTTTTATATTATATTGTGTCATATTTGTGAGGTTTTTTTTTATGATGAAAATAATAAAAAAAATTTATTGAAAAAAAAAATACTTTATAGATTTTTGGCTGATGTCATGATTGAAAAGTTGATGTTTTATGGATAAGATATAGGATATGGGATGAAGATATATTTGTTTATACTCTTGATAGAAGTGGAAAGCCACTACATTTGTTTATATTTGCGATGAAGATTGGAAATCATATATACTGTATATATTTTTTCTTTATTATATTCCCACTTTTTCTTCAATTTTTATTCTTTGTTCCTATTCCTTTCTCTTTAAATTTAAATTTGTGTTAGCTTTTACTATTCTAATCAATATTTTAAATAAAAATATGTATGTGTGTTTGTGTATAAAGTAGTGGGTGACCACATACATTGAATAAATAGTTGATATAATTCTAAAGTTATCAATTCAGCTTTCATTTTCATCAACTATGTATTTATGGAGACAAGTAACAGAACCTGCATACTTCACATGCAAGATAAAAAAAATGAAAAGACAAGTGACAAAGCTTTCATTTTTTTCTTGGCTTACTGATACACAAAGCACGCTCCCATTTGTTCTGTCACTATTCTATTTATGCCACTTGAACTTTTTTACAAACATCTCTGATCCAGCAACTGTTATTCTTTCAGATGTTCCTAGACCTCATAGCTTATGTACTCCATATCACAACTTTGCTATTATTTTTATTTCATTTTGAGATCTTCTTTGAATCTATTGTGCTAAAATCAATTTGTTTTGATGCTTATAATAACAGGCTAAATTCCAGGAATCAGATTTAGCCTATCTTTTTGGGGGGAAGGAGAACTATACAACAGTTTTGGAGAATCTTTGAATAAATAGGGACTACAATTTTTATTAAAAGCATTTTTAAGTAATCTGCTGCAGTGTGCAGTTTGGAAATTAATAATGCCATTAAGAATTAGATTGGAAATATCTTCCGAGTTGCTTGGGGCAGTTTCACTTTTCTAGATGTGCTAAGCCTGCCAAAAAAATACATTCTTTTATTTTTCACCAAAAAGCTGGTGGAAAGTCATTTGGTTGTTTATTTTTAAAATCTGACATTATGACTTCCGAAATATTTTTCAGTGTGGGAGAATATAAGTAAGAGGTTCAAAGCCACATACAAAGTGTGTTTGGAGTTACCATTTCTAGTATGCTTGCTGCATTGTATAAAAAACAAATACAGAAAAAGTGTTACCTAATGTCAAATTAAAAATTAATGATGGTCACCATCTAGGCACTTAACTTTCACAAAGTCTGTTTGTGTAAGAGAACAAAATTTCAGAGTTTTTAATTTTAAAAATGCAAAACAAAACATGTTTTATTTTTGAGTACTATTCACTTGATATTGCACAAAATTATATGGGGCCTCTTTAAAGATTGCCAATCCATGAAGCAAAGTTTTTAATACCTTAAAATATGAAATAAAAATAAGAATAAAATTGAAGATGTTATTTTTGCCATGTTTCCCAGCATACATTAATGGGCTTCTGTCACTCAATGACTTTCAAATATTAATGTTAATATTTTGCTAATTCCTATACAGGTAGTCCTCAATGTATGAGCCATCATAACAGAATGGAATTCTGTCCTATATTTGTCAGTGTTCCTTATATATAGTCAAGTGGGAATTAAAATCCAGACTGATGGTCTCAAATCAAGACTTTAGATAATAAGAATGTGATAAAGCATAGATATAGCATAAATTCTGTTATTAGTACAATAATAATTTGGAACATGGATCCAAATATGAAGCTCAGGTGACCAATACTTTTTGCAATCCAATCCTTTTTGCACAGTATCATTTAATAAAAACTAGAAGCCTATTACATGTTTAAATGTTACATGATTAAAGCTTTTATCTGTAAGATAGATATAATTATTTGCATTTGTTTATTTTTATTTTCCCCTTATTTTTATAAATAACTCAAGGCAGCAAAATATCTAAATACTTTTTCCTCCTCCTATTTTTCCCACAACACAGGCAAGGTATCTTGATACAGTCAAACACTATCTAAGCATACTGCTTCTTTGCAGTATGTTTCTCTGGGAAGAATTTAATCAACTGAAATATTTATGCCCTGGGAAAAAGTGAGATAATCTGGTAGATGCATCCCTTCATCATATGACAGGATGAATATTTTTTTTTTATTTAATCTGAGAGAACCACATATGGAAAAAAATAACAAAGGTAACCTCCTGTGGTAGAGAATTCCAAATATTATCTATGGTATAGTAGTTTAAAATCATAATTGTTATTCATAAACACTTGTTTAAAAGGCTACCTTTTAAAAAAGGTAACATTAAAAATTAATAGGTGAAAAGAATCAATATAGATTTGGTGCAAACTATATAAAACTCATATTAAAAATGTAGTTCTCTGTTCCATATAAACAAATATTTAAAATTTACAAAATGAAAATCCAGTTGAACTAAATATAATTATTAATTCCAATTTTGCATTAATCTGCCTCCTTTTGCATGTTATGCACCAATGTAAGTTTTAAATTAAATATCTTCACAAAAAGGCAACATAAACATTAGCCAGTCATCAACTGCTACATTCCTTTTAGAGAAATAACCACAGAAACCAGGGGATCAAACATGCTTTTTGACTGCATCAATCTACCTAATACACCTCCTCTACTTCGCTTTTATTTGCAAAGGACGCCACAGCCTGGTGAAGAAGAAATATTTCTCCTGCACATCTTTTGTAACATCTTTTGAAAAACTTTTTCTGCTCACTTGTCCATAAGGGAAAACTCAGCCAACTACTTTCAGCTACTTATGAAGCTAATTACCCTTTAAATTCTTTCCCATAATTCCACACATCAGAAAGAACAACTCCATTTTTACTTTCTTTAGGATATTAAGGAAGTTCCTCTGCATACTGTAAGTGTTTCTTTTTGTTGAGATGTCTATTCAGGACACAAGCTATTTGAACATCCATCCTGCATAACCTAATGCCAAATTATTGTATAAGACCATGCCCAAAACTCCTCCTCCCCTGTTTCTTCCCTTCCTTAATCTAGCACTATTTCATAAGACAGTGGTAAGGTGAAAAAATTAAATAATCACGGTATAACTTACCAGACAAAAGTGAGAAAAACAGCAATGATTATGAACTGTTGCTTCTGCCCTCCTTTCTGACAAGAGATATTTCTGGAACTTTCTCTTTTTCCTCTCCCTTTTACCACCCACTTGGAGGATAATCAAGTCCTCTCAGTGCCTTTTGATTCTTCAAGAATGATTTGGTCATTGAATCTCCAAAAAAGAAAGGTGTCATGGGAATTGTTTTTGCCTGGTACCCTGATGGTCCACACCTAACTGTTGTTCTGATGACTAAAGTAATTTGGTTGGGAGGTTTAATCCTCAAATTACTTCCATGGAAAGGAGAATAAACAAAGGAAAAAAGAATATTAAGCTTAGAAGAGTAATCATTCAAAGCACACAAATGCCTTGTTCGGATCTTCTTCAGAACAGGGCCCTTACAAAGACTGTACCTGGCATCACCAGTATCTGGAAAACAAGAAAAAGAGAGAATTCAGGTTAGCTTTCTACATTTAAGGCCTTACTGAAGAAAGAAAAAGGATGATACAAAGTGTATATGTTCAAACTGTTAAATGTAATCTAAAATTAGATTTCATTAAGATCCTAAGGGAGCATTCAAACTGGACAAAATGAAACTTACTACCCATAAATATGATTCTAATGGGATAAAAATATTTTGAATCATTTAGCAAAAACATGCCTTCAAAATCCTCTTATTGTACAAAAAATTAAATTGAAAAAAAGAAAAAGCAGAACTGCAACTCTGAAGGGGAAAGTCATGATTTAACAGCATACTTATTTCATTACAAACATATTTTAAAGTAGCACACTTCAATAAAGTATTTTCTATGCAGCAGACTATTTTCTTCCATCCAAAGGTAAGTACAACAGAGGCTTTGTTTTAATGTAAAACTAGCAAGAAATATTTTTTACATAGCTGAGATTGCATATCACCACTAACCCTTAAGCATCAGTACTTAGACAAAAAATTCTAAAATAACCTACGTGTGCACATTTTCCTTCCTGAACACAGAAGCTGAGGCAATTTCTAGTCGAAAGGCTTTCGACAAGTCATCACTAACCTGGTTGCTCTTTCCTCGTCTCCTCCTCCTGAACAGGATTCTGGATTTTAGGAAGATGCGGCGAGGAATCCAACGCCTCCCCTCGAATATTTTGAAAGGGTGTCAATAAAGTAAGTGTGGGGAGACATAAAAGGGCTGGGGAAGAAGACACGCTTCAGCAGAGACTAAAGACTCAGCTGCTTTTAAACTCTCTCAGATTGGCTCGGTGAATCCCGCAAATGTGGCACTATTCAAATTTCGGTCGGTACTATCAGGATTGTTTCTCGATGATAATGATCAAAATTGGAAAAAACGAAAAAAGCAGGGAGGTGCCGAAATCGGCCTCTCCAGTCCCGCGCGCTCTCCCCCACCAAGATCGTCAGCAAGAGGCGATGATGGAAAGGGGGAGGGGGCTGACGCGCCCAACCTTAGTATTAAAGATGAACCAGCGAAATTAATGCCTCCCCACGACTAAGGGGGAGAGAGGCAGCGCCTCTGCCCACCCGTAGGGCTCCAGCGGTCGCCTGGATCGCGCTCGCAATCCCCCAGAAACCGCCACCACCGATCACGCCTGCCCACCCTACCGCCAGCCTGCTTTCCTAGCTGCTAGGGTCGGAGGGAGGGATCGGAAGACGCAGCTAGCGCGCGCACGGCAAAGGGAGGGGCGCGGTCGACACACGCAGCGTATTCGAGGACGCCCCATTTCGCGCGCGCCCGTTAAGTTAAAGCCCCCTCCCCTTCCTCCAACCAATCCCGCGCAGAGAGCGGTAAGGCGCAGAGATCTTTCCCCTCCCCCGCCCCAGTTGGGTGCTGTCTCCTCAGAAGCAGCTGTGGTCGTTAAAGAGGGGAGGGGAGCGCGCGTACGTGAGGCACAAGGGGAGTCGAGTTAGTGTGGCAGCCAAGTTGTCCTTTTCCTCTTCTCTGCTGCCAATTTTCACTGGGCTTATTCTTTTAAGAATTTGTGGTCGTTTCCCAATCGACCCCACCCGCTTTGTAGGCCACTGTGGAAACATCATGGTATTCGCCCACGCCCGACGGTGTGAATTGCACCTATATCCGTGAGCCAGCTTCGTTGAAAGGGAACGTTCGCTCTTTGCCAGCTCAGCAGCCAGCTCGATGGTTCTTGACTGACGGAGCTCTGCATGGGCTGCGTGGGAGAAGGGAATCAGGATTTGTGACCCAGAATATAGAAAGTCCCTCTTTTCCTGTAGCCATTGACAGCCAGCTGAAGGCTGCGTACAGCTACTCAATGCACCCTTAAGATAACATCTCAATTAATAAATTCCCCACCTGTTCCTGTCATTTAAATGCAAAAAAAAAAAAAAGAATTAAAGAGGAATCCATCCTTATTGACAGAGGAACCATAGAGTGGCATTTTAAGATGCCAGTTAGACTCAGGCTACTTAAGTTTAGCTGGTGACTGATTATTAGTAAACTCTCACTTTTGATACTGTCATAGTATCTGCCTAAACTAGTTCTGCAGGTTGAGTGCTGGATTAGTTCCACTTTTAACCAGCAGGATAGTTTTCAACTTGAGCATGGTGGGCAACTTTGCAATGAAAAGGGACCTTATTATTGGACATTTCTAATTTTAGCAGAAAACAAGCAGTTGTGAGCATGTCTCTGGAGGAAGGAAGAAATCTTATTGCTCTGTTTCTCTTAATGACCTTGCTCAGGATCATAGGAATGGAAGTGAACAGACAGGAAGAGGGGAATTTGCATATGATGTTCTGGCCAACTAATCCAATAGCTTGTGTGACCCTCAAGAGATATACTTTTTTGTGCTTGCAATGCAATGTCATACATGGGGTTTATCTTTATCTAACTTTATCTCATGATGTCCTAATATTCATCCTTTTGATGAAATCTTACCTTGCTGTGGTCCTCAAAGTTAGAAAGGTTGCCTATCCATGACCTATTTTGTGACTGATGTTTTATCAATAATGTCACTATACTGGATAGAATCAGAACTTCCAAATCAGTTGTCATGGAGTTGGGTGGAGACAAGTTTGATTTGGGGTTTTGTTGGAGAGAAAAGTACTTACAGAATTTTTAATAGCTCTAAACAGTCCAGTAAGATTGAAACATTGGTGGAACACTTCCTATGAAGTTAGAAGAGCTTGTTTCAAGGACTTGAAACAAGGCCTTAAATTCATCCTTCTTCCTCACACACACTTATTACCATACCCACCATACCATACATACCATATTACCATATTACCCACACACCATACCCAGATGAACAGGAACCAGATAAACCGAAACAATCAAGAAAGAAACAATATTCATTCAAAAAGTAATCGAGGAAGTAACAATACCCCAATCAAGGTTGGTAGAAGACCACAACCTACTAATTGACAAGCTAGAAAAAGCTGGAATAGACAACATCTCCACCAGATGGATCTGTAGCTGGCTAACAAACTGCATTCAACGAGTAGTCCCCAACAGCACTACATCCACATGGAGAGGAGAAAGCAGTGGGATACCACAAAGTTCCGTCTTAGGCCCAGTACTCTTCAACATCTTCATAAATGACTTAGACGAGGAAAATGAAGGGGAACTCATCAAATTTGCAGATGACACCAAACTGTCAGGAATAGCCAACACTCCAGAAGACAAACTCAGGATCCAAAAAGATCTTGACAAACTCGAACAATGGGCCTTATCCAAGAAAGTTTCAACATGTAGAAAAGCAAAGTCCTACACTTAGGTAGGAAAAAACAAAGGCACGAATACAGATTGGGCATAAAAACAGTAACTGTGAGAGAGACCTTGGAATCCTAGTGGACAATCACTTGACTATGAGCCAGCAGTGTGCAGCAGCAACCAGAAAAGCTAATACAATCCTGGGTTGTATAAACAGGCATACATCAAGATCACACAAAGTACTAGTACCGCTTTACAAAGCTCTAGTAAGACCACAGCTGGAATACTGCAGCCAATTCTGGTCACCATATCACAAAAAAGATGTTGAGAGAAGAGCAACTAGGATGATCAAAGGCCTGGAGGCTAAAACATACAAAGAATGGCTGTGAGACTTGGGTTTGGCTAGTCTAAAGAAAAGGAGAGAAGCAACCAACATCCTGACAGTGAGGAAAATCAACCAGTGGAACAGCCTACTCCCAGAAATCGTGGGCGCCCCATCATTGGAGATCTTTAAGAAGAGACTGGACAATCACCTGTCTGAGATGGTATAGGTTCTCCTGCTTGAGCAGGGGGCTGGACTAGAAGAACGTCAAGGTCCCTTCCAGCTCTATTCTATTCTAAATGTCCTTCCCCAGCACACTGATGTTACTTATGCTGATAATGAAACTCTGCAAGAAGAAAAGAAAGCTCAGAGAATCCAACAATTTTACCTCTGTTTCTTGGCTGTTTGTGACCAAATTGATATTGTTTCAGGAACTACATTTAAGAAGTTTGGAAACATGGCAGATGAATGGTTTTGTGACATTAGTGTGCTGGATAAAGGCAAATAAATTGGATTGGTCTTCAAGAAAGACGGAGACACTGTAGGTAAGTGATTTTCATTCTGTTTGAAAATTGGATAACTTATTCTAGATACAAACTATATAAAGCAAGAATAATCCCATCTGATTTGTACATGCCTTTCTATGAGTTCAACTTATTTATTTCCAATACTCTCAGCTTTGGTATATAGACAGTGAAGGCCAACATTCTGATTTTTCACTGAATAGTTTAATATATCCTATTCTCTTATTGTAAATTCTGAAGTCTTTATCTAAGGTATGTCCTTTATGGTTTTCATCTCCAATCCTATCTAGATTCATTTAAAGCCCTATAGTCAAAATTACTAGCCAAACCGATTTTCAATTAAATGAGATGCAACCATATCATGCCAGTAATCCACTAATAATCTAATTTATGCTCTCAGAATTCAAATCTTTCCTGTTGATTTCATTTACATACACATTCATTTTGCAGTACAGATAGTCCTCGACTTACGACCAGAACTGAGCCCAACATTTCTGTTGTTAAATGAGATGCTTTAATTCCAGAATGACTCCCCTCATATAGTTTTTGGATCACCATATTTGCAGTACCTTGTGA